AAAAAAATATTACTCATACAGTACCTGAAAGATAACGTGACAGAATCCACTGAAGCAGAATTTCCATGTACATAATTTTCGATGCTAGAACCATTCGAAGAATGGTTATGTTTCCTTTGATATGACGGTACGGACTAAAAACAAAGCCCGTCAAGCTTGTGCAGCACAGATTCTAGCACGAAAAATTTTACCACTCCCTGAGAACTGAGAAACTTTCTGTAAGCCAGAGAACGATGTAATATTTGAACGTCCATGTTCTTTTTGAAAGCGGCTAGAGTTCCGACAGAGAAGTGGAAGTCGTGCACACCAGCAAACTTCTGCACCTAAAAAATGGCAGATACGAGAATCCCACAAGGCACAGCTGTGTGATAGGTGTGCATGTAATGCGCGGAACGCTAACGCTGAATTGAAACTCAAACATATCGAAAGCAAGGCTCGCTTCTAGATGGTTTGTGAATTGAGGAAATAGCAAAACCCTATCCAATTTTGGAACTTGCAGGGAACGAAGTTAATCCAAAACATAAGGATAATCAGTCAAGATGGCTTGAGAATAATTTTGTAGCAATTTCGTCAATACTAAGCGAACGGAAACAATGCAGAAAGAATAAGTAGAATTTGTGCCCATATATCTAAATCCCCATCAAAATCACAACTTAAACCAAAAATGGAGAAAATCTTCAGGTATGAACATCAAAAAAACGGATTAGACTTCTATACATTGTGGATCAACTTACTCTCTCTTCGGCAGAATTGCGAGATAGCATCACATCCACAATCTCACTCAAACGTGCTCGACGCTCTGCAGCCGAACGGTGAACTACATTTCGAACAGGCTTCCATGGCCACAGCAGTGGTGGAACATCCTCACCGAATGTGTACGAAGGAACTGCCTAAGAGCATAATCAATTGAAAAAAATTCTCCGTAAATAAGAAATATCCACAAACCCTGTCAGCAAATGCTCTTAGATAGAGAAGATTGCGACGAAGGTATGGCTGGAATACAGGACGCGTGCCATAATCCAGTGTTGACATGGCCTTGTAAGTGCGAAGAGAAGCTAAACGATCACAAAAATCTTCAGCTAAACACCTAGCTCTTTACGACAGAATAACCTGGAGATGAAAACATTTGACCCACAGAGCATTCTGTCACGGAAATCGAGGGCAGTCATTCCATTCAATGCACGAGCGCTCAAGTCCTTCTGCATATGAGAGTTTTCCGGTGATTATCAAAGCAAAGGAGATCGTAACCTCACAAGGTGTTCATGTGAGTCTCGAAGTTGCCCATCCTCATTGCTGACCTCATCCCTACCGCCATTCTTAGAGATCAGTCTGGATGAGCTGCAACAAAGATTAT